CATCACTGATTTAAATCAGTGATGGAAATTCGATTTCAGTGAATTAGAGGTTCTGTGAAACAATAATCTCATTATACTTCCATTAAGTTTGAAATCCATCTATCATGAGTTCGTAGTAGAATTTGAAGAATATTTTGAATAGGTTACCAGCATCATAGTGAGAGATAGACGATAGCTAATACTTGAATCCTGGACGTGCGTTTCGCCTTATTTAGGACTCGTCAACGTTATCTACTCATTCAAAGATATTACAATTGGATAGCAAATATCACTGTGTATTTGTTGTGAGGTAGTCATTGCTCGTTTTCAATAAACCGTGATTCTAGGTTTTGAGTTGATTGGCACTTATTAGCAAGATGTACCATCAAACTTGAAGAGACTTACGTCTAATTTGGGGTTAGGAGACACGGCACCTTGTTCTATCGTATGAGGCGTTAACGTTATGGTTTTTGAGTAGCGACTGAAATACATTTAGGTAGTAACCAATGCAAACGTTCAGTGGTAACGTTTCACTCTATGAAATTAGGTCATACAGTTTCGAATTCTGAAGTGAACATCAGTTCCATCAGGTTGCGTGCATGCCTTGATGACGAGTGGCAATTATAGTAATAATATCAACGTCCGAAGTTTCTTACCAACCACCGAAATTCAAAAATATATTGCTCACAATATCGGGTCACTTGAATTAGAAATCATATTTTTACATCATATCGATGTAAGTCAATCAGCCATTAGACAACCGTTTTTAATCAAAATTCGCAAACTGAGAGAAAAAAACACTGATTTGCTGATATGATTAATAGGTGGCATCAGTACACTTACAATGCAGAGACTTTTCACCAAAAAAAATTAAATGGTATTTTTTCTATATAAATACTGACTGAATGATATTGAGACTTTTATTAAGACGCTGACAAAATGCAGAGTCTTCTGACTACCCTAAGCAACAATGCAAGCATGTTCGGGATGCGGTTTTCCCCGTCGAAATGCAAAATGTTGCTTCAGGATTGGCTTGCAACTTCACCGGAACTAGTGATAGGGAGTGAAGTAGTCGAACGTGTAGACCGCTCCACATATCTCGGGAGTCTCATCAGTGCTGATGGCCTGATAACTGACGAAATCTCAGATCAGATACAGAAGGCTCGATTGGCTTTTGCCAACATACGTCACGTATCGTGCAGGCGAGATATCCGTTTGCTAACCAAAGGACGAGTGTACTGCGCAGTAGTTCGCTCCGTCCTACTATACGGATGCGAAACATGACCGTTAAGAGTAGAGAATATTCGTAGGTTACTAGTCTTTGATCATCGCTGTCTCCGAAGCATTGCTCGTGTATCATGGGACAACCGTATAAGCAGTGCTGTCGTTAGGAAACGAGTACTAGGTAAGGATGGCAGATCAATATGTATAGTAGTGAAATTTCATCGGTTGAGGTGGTTGGGACATGTGCTACGTATGTCCAACCACCGACTGCACCGACAAGCTATGTTTTGTGGTGTAGGAGTATTTTGCGAGAAAGCTATGGGTGGCCAAACCAAATCATTGCAAAAATCCATGAAGCCACTGACTACTGGATTGAGTCATGTTGGTAGATGTAGGCTACGTGGTTGGAGTCCTCAAGACGAAAGTCACCAATGGTTAGAGACCTTGAACGACATGGCTCGAAATCGTTTGCGATGGCGCAATTGCATCTACTCTTTGTTTTCTCTCAAATTCTAACCCTCCGAATTCCTAATAATCTTTATCTTTCTCCTTCTAAATTTATCTCACTGAATTATACTCTTACAATCATATCTTCGCTCCCTAATCTTCTCCATTGCTGCTCATACTTCTACTATCACTATCACTCTTGGATTTGAACTGACAGTTACGTCTCTGTGCTGACGCGGTATGGCAACCTGAACTGATGTACATACGTACGAAGTTCTACGTTGCAACTAACTGACTGACTGAGACTTTTCTGTAAATGTTCAATTCAATGACTTAACATACTTTAATTAATTTTATATTTGCTTGTGAATGAGCTCAATGAAAAAAATTGATATTCATCTTTCTTAGATTTATCGTAATCGATCATTTTACTTGACTAAAAAACGCTATAGGGATGATCTTAAGTTAGATTAATCATAAAACATACAATCAAAGTGTCTTATTATATGCGTACTAACCTTGAGATGAAGAAGAAAATTCACTGTAGAATTTTAAGGCCAAAGGAATGTGACTGAGTCCTAGTTTAACAATAAATCAAACTGAGCCGTTTCTACGTGAGGGGACAGATCAATGCATTTTGAAACAGCTTAACGAGTATTCTTAGGATTAAGGACAAGTAACAAGGATTAATCAGTTACAGCCACAGAGACGTTTATGCAGTAATGGTTCCAACACTCTTTACTTTCGTAATCTGTTGTTATAATAAATACATGTTGTTGATTAAATAAGATTATATTTGATCTCTACAGTTACTACGAAAGTCAATTCACCCGATTCTAAGGATAGGATGAGACGGGTTAGACATCGATCACGAGATGTAACCCTGGTGTACAGCAGGTCACATTGTTTCCGATCAACTTGAATAGATCCGACAAAATATACAGATGCTTTTGGTGGCTTCGTATGCTTCTAGTTGAATGGGAAATCTCTATTGACATTATTTATGGTCAACGAATTCATCAACTCCTGTTTTGAATCGAATTAACCCTTCTTAAAAGGTTTCCTCATAAGCAACAATTTATGTAGAACAAAAATATGACAGTGAATGGAAACAAATCCAATATCGCTTTCTAAATAACCGTCCTAACTGTAAAAAGTATTACATCAAACAAAGTGAACACCCTCTTCGCTTACAAAAACACCACATAAGTTGTGCAGTCACACAACGAAATTCCACTATTTATTACATCACAAACAGTCAGTTACAACGTACAACTTCGTACGTAAGTACACCAGTTAAGGTTATCATACCACATTAGCACAGAGACGCAGTTGTCATTTCAAATCCCATAGTACTAGAGGTAGTAGAAGTATTCAGAGAGATCAGGGTGAAATACACCTAAACGGAAAAGGATAAAGGTAATGAAGAATTCAGCAGGTTAGGATTTGAGAGAGCACAAAGAAGGTATGCATTGCGCCATTATAAACGATTTTGAGCCATGTCGTGTTCAAGATCTCTAACCATCGATTACTATCATCTCGCGGGCCCCAACCAAGTAGTCGACACCTAACAACATGACTTAATCCAGTTGTCATTGACTCCATGGATTTGTGTCATGTTTTGGTTCGATCTCCCCTAGCTTTCTTCCAACCTACCCTCACAGCATAAAACATAGCTCGTCGGGGCATTCAGTGGTTAGGCATACGTAACACATGTCCCAACCACTTCAACTGATGAAGCTCCAACACTTCATTTATTGGTCTGCCATTCTCACTTAGTACCTGTTTCCTAGCAACAGCGTTGCTTACTTGATTGTCCTCGGATATACGAGCAATGCTTCGAAGACACCTATGATCGAATACTAGCAACCTACGAAAATTCTCTACTGTTACTGGTCATGTTCCAGAGCCATAAAGTAGGCTGCGACAGACAACTATAAGTACGAAGTTGACATGGAATATGACGAATCCCAAGGAATGATAGAATTTCCGGAACATGAAATTCATGTCAGCTAACAGTCATCATACATATCAAGATCGATATAATCTATCCACTCATTTATCAAAGAAGGTTAGATCAGTCAGTCAAACATAGGATTGGAGGTCAGTCTAACAAAACAATAAGAGGGGAGCACAAAATCTCAAGAAGAAAACCAACATACAAAGGCCATCAGAATGAATATATATTCAACTCATAAATTAATGATTAAATTTGAATACAATGTGAATGCAATATCTGGCATTTTCGAGCTTTCGTCTTTAATCTGGCTGTTATAAATTGCTAATAAGAGTATAATTCTCACTAGGGATCCCATTTTCTATGGACACATGAGGGTGACGCATCCTAGTGCCTCGCATGAAAAAAATCAAAGTGAAATCTATGGCTTGTATGTAGCTTTCACCCATTACATGAAATAGAAAATGCCCAAAAATGCTTGATACTGTACAAATATTGAATAGTCGAAAAACGATTATATAACCCCCCCCCCACTTTTAAAGTACAAGAATGAAGTCTGCACAGTCGAATCATATATATTTGATCTTTGCATTCAAATATATTATCCAAATGAGTGCAGGAAAAATGAATATAGTTTATATGGATAGTGTTTTATTTTCCTAACAATATTCGTCACTGACTTATCTCACTCAAAGTACTGTTGAAACTAGAGCGCAATGGATAGGTGATTCGTCTTAATAAATACACACAACACCTTAGCTTTAAACAACCCACTACGCTACCAGGGTTCGAGCCAATGACCTTCATATTAGGGGTATTCATTGTCGAAGAATCTCATAATAGTGTGGTGCGCTCTACTTATAAGTAGTATATGACGCGAGTGAAAACGTAATGTCTGACAGCAGAAGATGGGGGAAGATCAAGAGAAAGGAAGAGTGGGAACACAATGGAATTTGTATGAAACGCATGAATAGTGAGTGAAATGTCAGACAATGAATTGATGATGGATTGAAGATTTGCAAATTAACCGTTTACGATATGGTTTTCCTATTTTACTGAGTAACTCTGTAATTTTCGTTAAATACAATTCGGTAGCCATCACCTGTGTTCTCCTTCACTACTATAGGACAAATCAGCCAGCTATCCCTTGCGTCCTGTTTTTCTAATGATAGGCTATATGAAAACTAATCTGTCATTAAACGACAATTCAAACTCGTGACCTATTAATCACGCCATAAATTTCTTAACCAGTAAATAGATGCTTTTTTACTCTTGACAGCAAAAACGCAATTCAAATGCAAGGTTCCTAGCTAATCGCATAATATATATATATATATATATATATATATATATATATATATATATATATAAATTTTCACAAACACTAACTTACCACTATCTCATCATCACGCATATTTACATGTTCTTTCACAGTGTGTAATACATGTGGATTTCTTGGTGGTCTAGGCGGTGGTTTATCTTCACTAGGTACATACTTCATTGGTGAAGTTTTATTTCTAAGTATATTTCCATTAGAGTATTTTACATTTTCCTCTTTTGAATGAATCATTGGTAAATTTCTGTTCAAATGATTATTGTTAATTGGTTGAAATACTGAATTCCGTGATGGCTTGACATTGAATTGATTGTTAACAGATTGCTCAATATTAGAATAATCAGGAGCTAAATTTCGATAGAGAAAAATAAAACAGAACATTATACTCAGTATTGGATTCAGTGTTGTCATTGCTGTTCATTTTAAATAATTTACATCACATAATGATCGTAACTAATCAATCAATCAAGGAGTCGTGGATGCGCACTGCCACTGATGAGTCCCATACCAGGACGAAACGGCCGTCTTTCAGTACTTCCAGGTTTCTCTAATTGTGGTCTAACATTGATCGATTCATGGTTTCAAAAAAAAACTTAACAATCTTCACAGAGTTAGACATTAACATCGTTGGATGCTGGCACAGTGGTCGATGGTAAGGCGTTCGCATACAATGCCAAAGGTCCTGGGTTCGACTCCTACGAGGTGCAGGAGTCGTGGATGCGCACTGCTGATGAGTTTCATACCAGGACGAAACGGCCGTCCAGTGCTTCCAGGTTTCTAATGGTGGTCTAACAATCATTGATTGATGATTTCAAATGTGTAAAAACGCAAACCTCCGAAAATCTGCCCCAAAAAATTCTTCACAACCCCGTAATACAATCAATAAAAGTCAGAACACTGAAATCTATTAAAGTTTTTGATTGATACTCATTAAATTCATGCAAGAACAGTGCTCATCAATTGGGCAGTTGATAAAATATGCTTATATGTACACGTAAAATGATAAGCATGAAATCAGATAGCTCAAACCGGCCTTAAAATGAAGCCTTTTTCAAAATTCACAAATTATCTATAAAAAAAGTGACCTACTTAGATGATCCAATCTCCTTTCTTCATTTAATCCCTATTTCAAATAAAAAATAAAGCATATTATTGAATAATCAAAACTAAAATTTATCAATTAAATAGGTTCATAGTTGACCAGTGACTTATATTTGTCGTGACTACTGATATATATATATATATATATATATATATATATATATTCAATCAGTCAGTCAGTCAGTCGCAACGTACAACTTCGTACGTAAGTACATCAGTTCATGTTGCCATACCACATCAACACACACAGATGTAATTGTCAATTCAAATCCAATAGTAGAAGAGGTAGTAAAGGTATTAGAAGTAATCGAAGAGGTTAAGATTAGAAGATATTATTCAAGAAGTATGATTCAGTGAGAAAAGTTTAGAAAGTCAAAACTAGAAGTGTTGAAGAATCCAGAAGATTAGAATTTGAGAGAACACAAAGAATAAATGCACTGGCGCCATTGCAAACGGTTTTGAGCCATGTCATTCAGGGTCTCTAACCATCGATTATTATCATCTCACGGACCCCAATCAGGTAGTCAACAACTACCGACATGACTCAGTCCAGTCGACAATGACTTCATGGATTTGTGCCATCTTTTGGTATGGCCGCCCCTAGCTTTCTTCCAACCTACACCTACACTACAAAACAAAGCTCGTCGAGGCAGTCGGTGGTTTGGGATACGTAACACATGTCCCATCCACCTCAACTGATGACGTTTCACTACTTCATCTGTTGATCTGCCATTCTCACCTAGCCCTCGATTCCTAAAAACAGCGTTGCTCACTCGGGTGTCCCACGATATACGAGCAATGCTTTGGAGACCCCTATGATCGAAAACCAGTAACTTACGAATAGCTTCTACTCTTAACGACCATGTTTCACAGCCATAAAGTTAGACAGAGTGAACTGCTGCACAGTACACTCGTCCTTTAATCAGCAAACGGATATCTCTCCTATGCCATAAGTGACGCAAGTTGGCAAAAGCTAATCGAGACTCCTGTACCCGAGCTGAGATTGCGTCAGTCACCAGGTCATCAGCGCTGATGAGACTCCCCAGATAAGTGAAGTGGTCTACACGTTCGACTACTTCACTCCCTATCAGCATTTCAGGTGCCGATGAAACCCAATCTTGAAGCAACATTTTGCATTTCGAGGGGCAAAGCCGCATCCCGAACATGCTTGCATTGTTGCTTACATATATATATATATATATATATATATATATATATATATATATATATATATATATATATATTAGACAAGTACAGTTTTATCCATTGACTTGAAAGTCATGCATTTTGAATGAGAATTAACTAACACTTGTATCAAAATATTACTAAGTGGAATTGGGACCTGCAATCTACTAGTTTAGAAATAAATATTTTAACCATTATGTCATATATCTTACAGTTAATTGAATGTAGTTCCTCATTCATTTATTTTCAGTATGCATCAGTAAATTAAGCTGATGTATGCAAAAAAGTTCTTATTTTTTTTAGTGATACGATTCAGGTTATCTTGCAATGATCATCTGTTTCATTTATACCACTTCTTCTTTAACAATAAGTGTTCCATGTTAGGGTTTGCTTTGTGACACAATCGGGTGTTTTTCTCAATGTGTGTCTTATCCACTCCAAGCGCTTCTTTCTGTTACTTGCCTTCACTGGAATCTGATCTGTTCTCTCCCATAGTACGTTGTTGCTGATAGTGTTTGACCAACGGATTTGAAGTATTTAGTGTAGACAACTGGTAATGAACACTTGTATCTTCTGGATGATGGCTTTCGTAGCTCTACAAGTTTCCGCCTGATACACTAGAACTGCCTTGACATGTTAAGATATTCATCCAATATCCTAAGAGAATTATTGGTCAATTTCTACTGGTCAGTTTTGTGATCGTCCTAGATATCAACGTCATGTACTCCAATGTTGTTTCCTATTGATCGTCTTAACTGTCAATGTCACAGACTTCGTTGCTGTTTCCTATTCGACCTAAATGTATAAATACGCATTATCCGTAACGTTTTATGAGCAGGATCCAGTGGCGGATTCTTATTCTGGGATCCTAATTCTCTTCTGCATCCGGACCTCGTACTTTCTGGATGCTTGTAGAATACATGTTCTACTTCATATCAAGTCTTCTTTCACCCAATAGGGATCGGGACACTCGGATTAGAGTATCATGTCATGTCACCAGGTCCTCGCTCTCGTATTCCGACTAAGGTAAACTCGTAATAATTCAAGCATATCAAATTGACGTGTCTACGTGCAACCTAACATGACATTTGTATTGAAAATCCTGATTTTGGTGTTGGTTGATAGTTGTTTTCAGCTCCAGATGTTAATCAATTGTAGAAATGGTGTCCTTGCTTTGACAATCCAAGCCTTCACTTCTGCACCAGAACCACCCTGCTCGTCAATGACGCTACCCTGGTATGTAAAAGTTTTTACATCTTCCAAGGCATCTTCATCAAGAGTGATTTGGTTGGTGCATGTTGTGTTGCATTGAAGGATCTTGCTTTTTTCATTTGTATGTTTAGATCTACTGTTGCTGAGGCTACAACTACACTGATCTTCTGCTGTATTTGTTGTTGCGTGTGCGATAGAAGACTCAGATCGTCTGCGAAGTCCAGATCATCCAGCTACATCATCGCAGTTCACTGTATACTGTGCTTCCCTCCAGACGTCGACGTCTTCATAATCCAGTCGATCACCAGAAGAAAGAGAAAGGGTGAGAGTAAGCAACCTTGCCTGACACCGGTCTTCACCTCGAAAGAGTCTGTTAGCTGTCCTTCGTGTACGATTTTACAGTTGAATCCATCATAAGAATTCCGTATGATGTTAACTATTTTCTCAGGCACACCGTAGTGTCGAAGAAGCCTCCAGTGTTTTCCTATCCACGCTATCGAATGCTTTCTCGTAATCAATGAAGTTGATGTAGAGTGGTGAGATCCATTCAATTGATTGTTCCACAGTGATCCGTAATGTTGCAATTTAGCCGGTACACGGTCGATCCTTACCGAATCCAGCCTGTTGATCTCTCAGTTGGTCGTCTACAAAGTCCTTCATTCTGTTTAACAACACTCTAGTGAAGACTTTTCCTGGTATTCAGAGTACAGCGAGTCCTCTGCAGTTCTCACACTTAATAAGATCTCCCTTCTTTGGTGCCTTGATGAGATATCCTTTTTCTAGTATATTGGTACTTGTTCTTCCTCCGGAATCTTGCTGAAGAGAGTATCTCCGCAGTTACTGTCACATCTACTTTCAGTGCCTCAGCTGGAACGTCGTCTAGTCCCGCTGCTTTGTCTTTCTTCATTTGTCTGATGGCCATCCTGATCTCTTCAGTTGTCGGTGGGCCAACATTGATTTGGAGGTCCGTGGGTGAAACTTCGATGTTGTGTGGGTTCAGTGGAGATCCGTTTTCCAGTTTTTCTTGAGTTTCATTTTCATCTTGGTCCTCACGATCTCCATCGTCCTTCTGAACTTTCTACTGATGCAGATCCAGATTAAAATCTAGAGATTAAACCTTTAGCAGAGAGTCGTTTATCCCGAAACTAAATCATAACATCACGGCAACTTTCTACTCAGTACGTAGTTTCAGTAGGGTGAATAATTATCACACAATGACTAGTACGTAATAGCAACAGTGTGTGTTAACTAACTCGATGTTTTTCCTCAAAAATCTGACTTAATAATCGAAAATTACTGTTTCATAAGTGAAAACATTTATGATATAGGTCAATGATTCCAAGTATTTTAATAATAATAGTAGGGAACAAAATGATATCTCGAACAATGTGCATGTCTGCAAATGCCTTGTTACGGCCGAGAGATACGAGAGTCCCCACTCCCTCTCATGATCCTCTCATAAAGCTACGTATTCATAGCCACTACCAGCCAAGTCCTACTCACTGCCCTCTCACTGCATACGGGTTGTATACAAAATCGGGAGGACGAAAAGCGAATTTCCGGAGGTTTAAATGGGATGTTTGGTATAGAAGATTTGCCTAGGAAGATTGATGGACCCTGATTTGAAACTAATGGGGCATATGAGCTCCTGGATCTTTATGGAACAAATGGCGTATGAACCTATCGTTGATTAACAGCTATCATACGACTGAATCTCCTGACGTCGCTCCACTGCATTTAGGTACCCCTCTGTACCAATAATTGCGTTTAAGCAAATAAAACAAATATAATAAATATGGGTATGTTAGAAGTGGAAATCAATCTTTGTAATCAAACTTGCTGGTTTTGAAATAATCAGGGGCGAAATTATGCAGGTGTAACATATTATATTGGGACTTATTTATGGCTAAACACAGAAAACTGGATTCACAAACATCTGTTAACATAATTTGTCATCGCAAGCTAATACTGACTTTAAAATACATCTTTCTGTCTGAAAATTGTCCAAAAGTAATACAGACACTTGTTATTAAGAGACACTAAAATCTATTAGTCATACATTTCTTCTGGACAGAGTATTATACTGGTATCACAGTTCAAAAATTTATGACATAGGCAGTAACAATTAACAGTTTATCTACAATAGAGAGGTAACCCTGCGGTTACAAGCACTCGACCTTCAGCCATTAAATAACAGGTTCAATTTATGCCCTACCTACATCAGGCTGTACACCTGGGTATAGTTAGTCCTAACATTTGGAGTACGCTTAATATTCAGACACCAAAGCCTAATAAGAGGTTCCTCCAATTAAAATAATATACTTTATTCGAAAATCAATATTTTAACAAAACCAGTTGACTGTTATTACATAGGACAAAATTGCCGATGAATCTTATTGTTTCCCCTGTTGCTGGAAAATCGTATCCTTTTTCGATAGATATCGAGCACCAGAACTTTTCGAGTAAAGGAAAGCAATATGATACGACAAGCTCAACATTTACTACTTTATTTATTCTTAAAATTTCATTGCCGTGTGAATTTATACTAGGAAGTGATATTACCATAAATCCAAAATGGAAAATAAACCATCCTAACTAAAACAAACTCATATGACGTATTTTCTGCTAACTTATGAAGAAAAATAAACTAACTTTGGAGGTAGGGGTTTTCTGTTCAATTACAGTGGACAAAGGTTGATCAGCAGGAAAAAAACGGCGTTCCACATTATTTCCGACCGTCTGTGATTTAAAACTTAAGTTTTGCGAATAATAAGATGCTAAAAATACTTTTGAGATGCTTTGTAAACTGAAGTCAGCCAGTTTTGAAAAGTTTTCTCTGTTTCTGGTCTTAAATGATACGTAGCTCCGTTGTGTTCTGTGATCTAAAGAAATTTATAAAAAAAATGTGGCCTTACCGTTATCCATGGTGTATCATCCTGATATGATACAGCAACATCAGAGTGACTAAGGAGGATTTTTAGGCAGCTCTTACGGTTAATGTGATCTACAAATATAAAAGATCGTCTTGTATTTACTTGGGAAGATGAAGAGACTATCGTTTTTAATATATGCCCATCTTTTTGAGACACAGTAATTTGAGCTGCTTTTTATCAACTGAAGGATAAACCCGTGGATCATAACGAAGTCCATCGACAGGTCTAGGTTGAAAGAAGCACAGCTTACACAAGTCAAATGGCCTTCACATACTGCAGCCAACATAGCAATCTAACAAACCAACTTCCAAAATCCAATATCTTTTACTCGATCCAGTAAAAACCAGTTCATTTCTTCATGTTCGAATCTTGTTCTTTCGGTACGGTTCCAGGTATTTGGTAGTGTCTAATGGGGATCCAGCCACTCGACTGTCTAGTTCTAGTCTGATGACAGTTGTTTGTGCGTTTGTGTCTCCCGTCATTTGAATAAGTAGGTTTGTTTCAGAGCAGTAGGGGTCCCGGATACTAGCAGCTATCACATTACCAGACCGGAGATCGGTTAGTTGTGGAGAATAGTAAGGAGAAAGTTCTAATGCTAATAAGAAGGACATTTCAGAACTAAGTAAATAAATAGATAATTTAGTTTAATAATTGGTAGTGAAGATTGTGAGAGAGAACCGAAGTCTCGCCAAGGGAGAGGAAACAGAGATAATGGGCGAGAAATATTAAGTTAGTGATCTGAGATGGCAATAATAACGACTAGCAAGTCCCAATACATGCATCAGGCACAGCTTGTCCACGAGGGAGATGATAATCCGTATGTGAGTACCTGATTATCAGGTCTCTTAAAAAAGCTGTCCACTAAGAGGGCTGTGGTCACCTCCGCTGGAAGAATTTGACATGCATTACATGCTGTCCTTATCTATGTACTCTCTCATTCGCACACTGCCAGTCCTTCTAATACCTTTGATAGCATCGATAGTAATGTGGCTGATCTTTACCAGTCTCTCATCGTTTATGAATTGAAAATAGTTGCTTGTTTCCATTCACTCGGAAGTTTGTATGACTCCAATGAATATCTGAATATATCACATGTCGGTGATCTTATGGTTAAGTAAGTAAGTCCGATATGCCTGTTAGGATATTTATCCAATATCCTAAGATAATTGTTTGTAAGTCTAATCCTATTGGTCGACCTAATTATTATTGTCACATACTTCGAATAGTGTTTCTTATTGGTCGTCCTAACTATCAATGTCACATACTTCAATGTTGTTTCCTGTTCGACCTAACTGTATAAATACGCATTATCTGTAACGATTTATGACTCGGACCCGGATCCCCAGCCCGGGATCCTTGCCTTCTTCTGGACTCGGAACTCGTACCTTCTGGATACTTATAAAATACAGGCTCTACTTCATGACAAGTCTACTTCTTTTTCTCAATAGAGGTGTGGGACACTCGGATTGGAGTAGCATGTCGTGTTGCCGGATCCTCGATCCTCGATCTCGTTTGCTGACTAAGGTAAACTCGCAGTAACTCAAGTATATAAAAATGACATATTCGCTTGCATGCGTAACAATTCCCAAGGCTGTCAGTGGGCGCCAAGTTTGAGTTGTAATCTGGACCTGTGGATTGTCGGTTTAACTGGTAGTTGAAGTTGGCGTTTAAGATCTCAGCTGCCTCTGTGTCGGTAAGGTCTTCGCCATTCGGACCTTTGAGTACACAAGCATTCTTGTTCGTAAGCATTCTTGTTCCGTTTCCTGTCTGATGAACCCTATCGCATCGGAAAATCGTTAGACCTTGCCAACTGACATCATCTTCTTTAACGTCAGGGGATAGCCATGCGTTAGTTAAATTTATGATCTTCAGATCGATTGGAAAGCACATATTTGTGATCTATAACAGCTTACTCCTTAATCCTCTAACGTTGCTATAGCGAAACTTAGTGGTTTGTCTGATCACCTGGTGCAACTGTACAGCAACCTTGTCGTCCGATTTTTAAATAAGTTGTTAAAACCGAGTTGATCAGTTTTGTGGGAACTGGCCTTTGCAGAATTTGTGCTTGTGCAGTGCATTCAACCCTCAAGACCGTGATCTTCGTTTCTTGTGTCGCGAGTTGTTGATTCAGGTCGACTCTCACTTTTTTGCATTTATTTTTGACCTCTGTCTGTCTCTCAGATCTAGTTCGTTTCCCGTAACACCTAACGTGACTTGAGGGATCGTCCTTCATGCTTTATCAAGCCTGCAACGTATTAGTCAGGCCCTCCACGTCACTGAATTTTACATTCAACAGATCTGGGGCTTAGTACTTGTGAGGTTTGGAAATGGAAAGTGCTAACTTCCATGGTTGTGTGTATGCCCATACTATGTGATGGCCATCACTACTGTCGCACGCCATGTGAGTGATTCTTATGTATGTTACCGCAAATCAGCTCAGGGACGTCTTAAACTACCAAAGTAATCTGTTCTTGGGTGGCTCTTGATGTCCTGGCAGTTAGTAGTGATGACCAGGGTTTGTTGTGCCGGATTCGGATCGGAACGAGTAGTATATTACTAATGCATTTGTTCTAACATCCATGTTCCTGATTTGTAACGTTCTGTGAACTGCGGGGATGCCTTCTCCTTTTCTTCCACTCACTCAGTGTTCTGTCCTACCAACTAATACCGAATAGATCGCAACAACCGGCAGTTTCGTAAGTGTATTGGTACGGGTTGCAGCTAACTTCGTCGCCTGTATGGTTGGTTTGGTGCAGCACAAGTTCGGTTCATTTGGGGGCATTTGTAAACTCGTTTGGGATTGGGTATGCTGATGCTAGTATTTATGTCTCAGTGATACTGCACTGTGGATAAATATATCAGAACCACGGATAGGGTCAGCTCAGCATATACCCATTGTGCTATCTAGGCATTACAGTGTCACGACGACAATAAACCCTTGCAGTGCAGTGTTTGCAATCATATGTAGAATCGGTGGTTTAGACTGGCAGCAAGCGGGAAATACAGTTATATTTATGTGCCTTCTAAATGATAGACTGTTTCGTTTGAGTCTCAGGGTGCATTATCCTCATATTTTTATTTTGTCTATTGGTCATACTAGGAATACGAAACTGAGGAGGATTATGGTCTTGGTTTCCTTCAGGTGTTTTGGTCGAGGAACCCCAGTTGTGAAAACTGTGGAGTAATGATTTCGGTTTTTTCACAACTCTGTCGCCAGAAGCTGGGATTTTCGACTGAGTAATAACCCCGGAATTCAGACGTCAGTTAGTTTTAATAGTTGATACAGTTTGAGAATTTATAGCAGCACTACTACTTAACTTGTTTATTAGTAGATATAACGACCTGAAAGTCACCCAGAATTGCAACGTTACGTTTGATCTTCCTAGTAAGCAACTTCGCACGGATCCAGTGACTTTTTCACGAGTCCTGTGTTTGAGAGTGATTGGATGTATGCATGCTGCGAAGCAACCAGGAAGAGAGCAGTTGATTGGGACAGTTACAGCACAATGATGCTAACTTGGAATAATTCCCTTTGTCTAAATTGTTACTGAAACTGTCTATCAATGAACAGAGACAAAGTTTATAGCTTCAACAACGATTAAATGTTGCAAACTGGTGTTGAAAACTAGATATTTTCCTGTAAATTTTGAGACGTCTACGAGGAAACGTCAATTTTGAAGCTCGCGACAGAATGAACTTAAAAATATCAGTTGCGAATTAAGCGACGACCTTCCGCTTGATTCCCAAAGTGTTTTAGGCAGTTCTATATCCTTAAGAGAATTCGGTCCGGTTAATCCAGTACGTCCTAACTTATAACTTTCACATGTAGAAGTGACATATTGGCTGTTCTTTGAAATTTGTGTCGATGTAGTAAGAGGCCATTCTTGAAAATAACAGGTCAAACAATGTGTTAAGATCCGTCTGGAATTAATGTTAAGCCAATCAGTGTTGAAAATGTGACAATGCGTGTCGAAGAATCTGGAATTACTTTGGTAACGTGTTTTACCTTTGTCAAGGTCTAGCTGTGTTTTTACGCTACAAAAATTATTTTTAATCCAAATAGTCTATCCTGACATTGTTCTTCAGTAAACTATTTTTCTCTCGAGTTCTATTTCCATAAAATAAATATATGGTTTTTCACACTTTAACATTCGGTTCATCTTAGTAGTCTAATTTAGGTATTATGTATTTGATGTATTTACAGTGTTTTCTCAAGATCATAAATTTTTATTCCAATTTTTTGATGACTTTATTTCATCAAGATTGCTAAAACCTGACGCAAAAGACCTGACTGCCGTTCGCAAAAAAACTGGCACTAACCCCCAATAAAGGAGTCTAGTTACGGATAAGCGGACAAAGATGCGTAAAAAAAGGATTTCCGATGACAAAAGTAATGATGTTTTAAGCAACAACATCAACATTACTAACCTCTCTCAGAAAACTTGTGTCTCTCTCTACATTGTCTTCAAATTCAACTGTAGCCAGCAAAACTCTAATGAATGTGAATGGACTCCCGTCAACAGGGTTAAAAGAAGTCCAAAATTTCCGTTAGATATGTTCAATACCCGAAGTCTTTGAAGAAAATCAGTTGGTAGGCCATTTGCATAGTCTACTGATGTTCGAACAAATATCCTACAGAAAGCACGGAAACTTGGATGAAAATCCAACAATCAAGCGGGCGGGACCCCGATTTTAAGGTTCCCTAAACCTGGTAATATTGTCAAGTATCGGGACAATTTATTAATTAGCATGAATCTTAAAGACATTTCTGACGTTTCTTCCAGTTTGCAGAACAAAACCGGCAAGATGCCTAGAGATGAGTTAGACAGGAAGCCCAAACTTCCTTAAACTTCAACCACAAAGTGCTGCGTGGTTTACTCGACAAAAGAAAATAAATCAAAACTATCAATTCCACGAGGAAGTTAAGTGGCGATATCAGGGATCATACAATGTGAAAATATATTACATCCTACCTTACCAGTCCGGTCGGTAAAAATGACTCCCGAAATCGGAAACGGTTATAGTAACTGGCAACCATCACTTACGATGATATAAAGCAAACAACACCAGAGATATTTCTGATTTCATTATATCTCTTAGGAACCATTATCTACATCGGAATGGTAGGTTACAATGAGGAGGTTAAGGACGCACACATATATATACACATATATACACACTTAAACCTAGACTCTCTCTTGTATGATGTCGGAACTAAAGAACTGCAAAATTCTGTTTGGATCGTTCTGAAACCCTGAAATACAGTTCCATTACTGTTCCGCTAAGTTTCACACTTTCGTCATCCCCACCATTAAAGGGCTTGGCCATTTGTGAGGACTTGAACATGACTGAAATCTCTTAGTTTCTGATCATAGCAAAAGACATTCTCGAGCGGATGTTTGAAAGCTCAGAGCTTTGGAAGTGGACATAATATGTTGAAAGCCCGACTAGACATCACACCGTTTTGACTTCAGTTTTCACAGGTAATATCACCCCGAAATCGCATATTTTAGAAACGTTTCCAAGTAGCAATCATAATATTGTGGTATTCAGCTATCATATGATATACTACCAGAATCCATAACATTAATGATATCTCCTCCATAGTATTATGGTACAAATATATTTCAAGACAGAGGTAATGAGTGTAAAAAAGAGCGCACAAGAAAATGCTATCGAACTCAATAAAATCTTCGATGCATTTATCAGAATCCTTCAAAATAAACTTAAGTACTCTTAAGTGAAGGGAGGGAGCATATTTATAAAAAACAGCCAAGTGTAAAAAGACCCTTGATGCATCACCAGTGACTAGAGCTTAAATGACTAGAAATAGTCTGTTATGGCGCACAGGACATCATATTGTTAGTTGGCATCATCTCGAATCCCATCTTGGATCACCAATCTTTTCGACTGCTGTCAATACTTCCACCACCTCTACCACATCGGCATTTCAGTTGACAATTCCATGTCTGCGTTAATGTGGTAAAGGAACTTGAACTGATGTACATACATACGAAGTTCTACATTGTAGCTGACTGACTGGTGTAAAGCACTTGATCGTAATAAGTCAGAGGCTTGTTATATTAAACAAGGAAACTGAATGAATAAATGAAGATGTTTATATACGACTGGAACACTTTAACGTTAGGTTTTTCACTATTAAGACAGCTTGAATGGAACTCTAACGCTAAGCTTCCAATTATGATGTAGCAACGGATCATTACAACTTATAACTGAAAATCTCTGAAGTTGTCGACACAAAATTACTAGTCACATATAAATGATAATCAACTTCTCTTATTTTGATTTTGACTACATAACATGATCTCTAGAAATGGAATTAGCTTGATCACTATGCGTAGCATTCAAAGATCAGAAATGATTTAGCATCTAATCAATTCTTTAGAACTACTAAAACTACATCTAACGTAGTTTAAAATCTGCTCCATAGTGAATTTTGTCTGCCTTATCGAATATTATAACATCCATCGGTCTTATCTGTCAACCAGCGTGTGGCATTTGAAGCTGTTGAATTCAAGATCGAATAATGACCACCATTTGCAACTTATAGTAATATCAGTGTAACTTTACAACTTAAACAAGTGGTAATTCAGTTATCTAGGTCATTTGAAACAGACATACAGTACTGCTATAGACTCTCTAGTTTAAGTGAAGTAAATATAATCAATGTCACCACTATAACCATTTCATACATAAAAATATTCATATTAAATGTATTAGTCAAATACAATTCCTTTAACACGAGGAGTTGCGAAAGCCTTGAAAAGACAACTGTTACCAAATTAACGGCAAAAGTAAAACTACGATTGGGTGACCGACACCATGTCACACCTGATAAAGAAAGAAACTGATGAACTCTTATCAGTCACATTGTGAACACTGAAGTAGGACTAATTGATATGTTGTCAAATCACTCGCTGTGGTGGAACCAATGACTGCACAATGTTTAGCCATTCTTTGAACTTTTAGCATAGCTGATGGGTCAGTTAAAAAACCTTACGACCGAAACCAACATATTCAGAAACCATAGACGAATTCATACAGGAAACAACCGGTATTGCTAGTGCAAGATATTATCTATGATTAACCAGTGTCAGTCATCAAAATGAAGACGGTGATATAAATGTCAGTAGTAGAAATACCAGACAACCGCAGACGAAAAAATAAAGCAAACAAATGAAATGTATGCAACACAAATTCAGTTCGTTAATAATGTTCCCCAAGAAGTATTTTCTATATTACGGTTTTTCAGAAAGTGTTGATCATATTGAGGTGACTCATACCACTTGAATCAAGCAAGTTCACCGATAACCCGTTTCTTGTCTCTTACCACTTTATCATCAATCCAAAATATCTGACCTAAAGAAAATAATACGGACATTCTGAGAAATACATGATCTTATCGTACAGTAGTACGCTCATTCAGGTGCACTTTTTTATGAAGCTGTCTATCAAACGCTAATGCGAATCAATCTACTGGCAAAGGCTAGTGATACCATTCCACCGACCAAGCCGAAGTAGGGCAGATAAACACTGCATAATTACAAATAAGTTTTGAGTATCCAGTTGCAGGCTAAGAGGTTTCTTGAACGATAACACGGCACTTAGATTTTGAATATAAACAATTGCGACAACTTATCCATCCGATGTGGCTGACAAATTATAAAGTCTGAATGGTATTATGGTCAAAGTAAAAAACAGACCAAGATACTCAAGCGGTTACACCTTGAAAACTACTCACAAAGAAAACAATTTTTATTATTCAAATGCATGCGTGTACAAGTACAGTTACAGTGAGTGCATGGTTTATTCATTTTAATAAAAAGTTTCATTTAGCTGAAGCATAGAAATTAGGTACATCTGTATTATTTCTTGAAATCACTATCATTACTAAGAAAAATGAAGCCAATGATAATCAAATGTGTAATAAACCAAAATAATTGGCTGCGGTTAATACTTAAATTTTTCAAACAAAACTAGAAAGGACAATTTAGTTGGATCAAACATATATACAACATTAGGGAATGTGAAAGAAATGAACAAGATACAGTGTCTGTACAAATAAGTATGATACATAAGGACGAAGTTGATACGGAACACAAAATCACTGTACATCCGTAATGCCTTAGGACTATGCACATTAGTTGACAATATACATAAAGTTAGACACCACTATACCTCAAACATAACTGAGAGAAATTAAAAACAAGTAAATAAAGGCTGTACACAACATACATTAGGAATGAGAAATACAGAACACTAAGTAGCGAGAAATATACAAATCCAAGTGATGTAAAGGCACTATAAACTATACTGGATGGTAGTTACAGAGAGACACGAGACTGGGTTGAATAATAATCTAGGAAATCGGAGTTTGCCTATCTACAACAACCGTCTCACAAAAGTATTGCAGAAATTCACAAAGCTATTAGTTCATCCATTTCCGACAATTTGGAGCTCTGCAAAGGCAAGGAATTTTGTCACTTTTATCTTCAAGATCAAAATTATAGTCATAACATAACTCTTCACCCTTTTTGATCCGTCTGTTAGTAATTATCACAATATGTGAATGACCACCGAAGTTGACGAACTCGGCGAAGCAGTTTGGTTGACAGGAATGATTAATATATCGAGCTAGTCCTCCACAAACAGTCGCATCAATTACTGTATCATCATCAAGACGAAACATGTAGATGCCTCTGTTATGAGCTTCATAGTTTTTTTCTCTTTTATTGGCTATCTCTAAGCGGATTAACTCTCCTACGTATTCGATCACCATGGTTTGTTGTTCCAAATCACGTGCAGCAAATAAACCCAATCCTTGAATACGCGATCGACCAAGTATAACATTGGAATTAATTTCTGTCTTTAATTTTCGATACTGTTGAGAACGACTGCTCTGATGTTTTGATGCCGTACTATCCATATTATATACACTATTGCTACAAGTTGATCCACTGAAACCTGAATGAAATAAACGTCGAACACCCGGCAGACCCGTTCGATGACTGAACGGGATGGAATATTCACCAGCATCGTGCATACGTTTCACATACGTTTGCATTTTTGGCTCTGACCGTGCACATCCTGATGGGTTTATGGCCAACGGCATTTCAGATATCAATTCAAGACGTCCAAAATTAAAAACGTAATCCCTCAAGCTATCAACACCTGGAAGAGATTCTATGGCACGGACTACATGAGATTCATTTAATCCAAACAAATCTTCACCTCTTAAAAGTTGTGGGAAAAGTTTTACCAATTTGTGTTCCTTACAAAGGGCCTCAATTCGTGACAGAATTATCTGCCAAGCTCCGTCGCAAGTCTCGTGTGTAATAGACACATTTTCCATATTTCTATCAATTGCTGTTATGCGGAAAAATGGATGACAGTTTTTTTCCAATATTTCACAGACATATTTTGCTCGAGAACGCGGTCGGCGCATTGACCAGTAAATTCGAGTGGAACACATCCCAGGAGGATAGATATTTCGACGGTTATGAAAGTTTCCACTGTCAATTTGGTGTGGTAATAACTGACCAATGGAGTGCAAAAATACTCCTCCGATGCGGACAACGTGTTTATCACTATCTTCATGCACCACACGAGCTACTTGGCTATTTTCATCGCGGTTAATGTATACACGTCGGCTGACCACTAGAGAAGATAACTGCATTGGATGGATCTCTTTAGGTTGGTGTTGAGGACAATACATACCACGATCCGTGAAAAACATACATCGTATTCTGATTGCACATGGTACGTGATAAACGTAGGAACATTTTGGATTATAACAAGGCAAACCAGCACCAAGTAAACCACATTGTGTACAAACTGTCTCTTTCGCTTTAGCTAACCAGACATCCAAGTTATTTAGGGACCCACCAATAGTTTCATAAACTTCATAACACCATAATGCACAGTTAATGTGTATCCAATTATCGAGGTCTAGAGGAAGTAAACGACCAGCACCGTCTTCAGGAGCATCTCCAGCTCCTTGGCACAAATCACACACTCGTTTGTCGTCAGAATGTGGAGCACACATGACTGCGGGATTACTGCTGGAAGGACTGAGGGTATCATCGACCATACTACGTTTGGATGGCATGTCTGACAAATGGTGAGTATCGGACACATACGATCTCCACCGGATACCTTGCCACTTTCTAAATTTGGAGAGAACTGTAGTGTTTGTGAGACGCTTCTTATTTGCAACGCACTGCTGAGGATGCTGACGTTTGAGATTAGGTTTCGACTTCGACAAGGTATTTTGTAGTAATATGGGCACAGAACACGGGAGGTCAGTCATTATAAGCTGTCGCTGTTGATCGAAACTATAACAATCTTTGGTGTTTAATATATCTGTTTGTGACGAATAATCCAGTGACGTATCCGAGTACTTATTTCGATGACGAGACAAAAGCTGGGCAAAACCATACAAACAGTCACTAGAGCAAAACATAAGATCCACTGCATTATTAAAACTCATAGATATCCCACTGACTGAACACAATTCATCTAACCATTTGCGCTGCATTATATGAGGGGAGACTGGCTTACCACACTTTTTGCATGATTTCGCAGACCGGCTCTTGTTGGCAAGTATAGAAGTGATGCTGACGGGTTCTTCAGAGTAACGACATGTCTCCTGTGTATAAACTGAACTGTAGTCAGTTTTGCCAACAATATCGCATTCTAATTTGCATGAATTTAACTGAGGCAGACTGGATGGAAGAAGCTTTGTATGGGATGTGTGTTCGAGCGTGCTAGATTGCATATGACTGGAACTATGGACTCCCTGTGCCAAACAATCTCTTGAATCCTTTTCAAATTGTAAAGAAAGTGGCGTGAACTGCTGTCTTAAGTGCGTCTCTAGGTTACGCATTACAACTTCACTTTGGGATTGCTTTTGGTCTAAAGTTATTTGTGCCCCGGATCTAGTGATTTGACAGTCGATGGAATTTTCTTCCACACCTAGTAGTTCTGAGATTCGATGGATGATTTTTGGTATATTTACAGTTGCCGAAGGGTTTACGGTGAATGTGATATGTAACTTGTCATCCTCACTTAAAGTGGGATTTAGGGACATCTTGGTTGATTTTGACTGAGGTGAAATCATAGTTTCACCAGTTTCCGAGTCGACGAATGGAAGGCATGGATTCAGATCAATCGATATTGGAGATTCACTCATTGCACTTTTATATGGGTCTTGACCTGATACATCGTTTTCAACCTTTAGAGAAGATATGTTTGAACCATTAACCTTGTTAAGCCCGGAATCCATACCATTTCCAACACAAGGAGCCAGATGAATAGGTTGACAAAGCAAACGAGGATTAGGCATGTGATACAGAACAAGTGGAGGAGTACACCTATCTGTCTCTGTTCTTTCTAAAGAATTCGATGGGTTCTGAGAAAACATCTGAAGCAACGATTGAGGTATGATTGTCTCACCCGACAATTTGCACGAGTCGTACCCAACTTTGATTTCATCATAAATATCTTTCGGATACTTTTTCGCAAACTGATTCATTCTCGAAAATAGAGTTTTCATGTTATTCTCAAATGATGGAGGTTCCGGAGATGCACACACCGAATGGTGCTCTAAAGATGGTCGCTTGGAGCACTTATACGAATAAATCACGGGACCAGGTGGTACCACTACTTTGAGATGTTGTGTGAGATATGAATCAATAACTTCATGTGAGGTAGTCGAATCTATACACTTGGGGAATTTAAGAGACATGTGTCCACGAGAGTATTTCAAACCATGCTTGTGGTAAAACACTTCCTCAGTACCTCTAGGAAACACTGAATCGCACGTACCAGTGGGTGGCAGGACTGCAGAAAAAGGTTGGAGAGTGGGGGCAGAGACTAATGATTTTAGATCAACGCTTTTTAATTTATCAATGTGTTCCTGAGCACCGGAATGCAAAGAGCGAACTGAAGCTTCGTGAACGGAGATGTTTTTGTTCGCGATTGAGACGATAGGACATGGTGGACTGCCGAGAGTTTTTCGACGTTTATTATTTCCTGGTGTTGAGGTATGCGATCGTTTTCTAGGTGTACTTGTGACGCTTTGGGAACAAGTGGTGACGTGAGTGTTAGTTACTGGAAGACTGTGGGTGGATGATACACTAACGGAAGGTGTGGGGAGCATAGAAGTTGTGTTGACAGGAATAATAGGATGGCGGAAGGTCACTGATGAGTTTGGCTGTGAGCAACCTTGATCATTAGTAACAGCTGGAACGGGTTGTGAGTACGTCACATCACCTGGAGCTTCGGAAGACACAGGTGTGCCGACAGTACCACAAAGCAAGGGTTGGGGAGACTGGACAGGGGTCTGGACAACACAAATATTTGATGGGTTAATGGAAACTGCTTGGGTAGAGATTGGTGGGTTTGTACCTTCCGTTACGTGATTAGGCACGGGATAGGATGTTATGTTGGCGTCTGAAGTTTTAGCAACTTGATTGATAACATGCTGTAAGACACTAGTTCGAACTGGAGACAATACTGGAGTACTAATTCTCTGAACAGAAGCAGTAGGCAATGTGGAATGTGGTATAGTAAACTGAGCTTGTGACCCCGCATGATTTTGGAAACTATGTAGCATGCTGGGATGGAACAAGACATGCGTATTTGTCGTCAGAGGCTGACTGATTTGTGAAACGATATGGTGTTGAGAAACCTGAAATATGGGATTTGAGGAGTCTGAGCATAGCTGTACGAAAGAAACGCCCTGGTTGCCATAATGAGCAGAGACACACTGAGAGGGACTCGACGATAACTGAATGATTCTATTTGTTTGGTCACATTTTGGAATGGTTTTTAAACTCCTCCACGTGCATTATTGAATAGGTTATTCTTGAGGCAGGCAAACAGAAACCTTAACTGGCAGCATCTGAAAGCAGGTATGATGAAAGTGCTAACTAAGGAAATATTCACGTTCCTGCCATAGGTTTCCACTCTGGAATGTTAACTCTAAGTATAAATTATATTAAAAAGCTACTATGCAAGAATGATGTAAAAAATAAAAATAGCATCAACAGTATTCCGAGTATGTAGATGGAATTGTTTGTGAAGTCGTTGGAGATATGAGCCGGATTTGCATGCACAAGGTCGAGACCTCTGAAATCGCCATCAGTTGATCTCTGAAAAGTTTGAATAGCGTTTCTTGAATCAAAAGTAATACGTGAAAGCTCGTCGTCCGAAGAGAGTGATGGTAGAAGTTTCGTCTGCAGCCATAGGGATGTTTCCAAACAAATTGTGAATTTAACAGCATTTGCAATGCTTATGAGATACGATCTTATTCAACAGATGATGATCAGTAAGATCTCCATACACTGTTGTTTCATAAGTATTTTGACATTTTATCAAAGGAATTAGTCTTTTTGCGAAGGTTATATATACTTGAGTGTGAGTCTGTAGCATTTATGAGCGCAAAATATTAACCATCTCCAAACTTTCAGTCAAATCGAGAGCGAACTGACTCAGGCTTTTAATGCGATATATTGCTGCAGAGTAGGATATTCATCAGGAACACAATACCATTAATTTTCAGTGATCTGGAAACTATGATCAAGAACCAGAATACCACAAACTTTAGAGTCCTTGTCGTAAATATGGTTACAGATATCTGAGTCTAGCTATTATCATCAACATTTGCTCATTCATTGAAGTAAACAGAACATTTCAAGTTTATAAAACATAAATAATCTCCCACTGCATTTGTCTTTCAGCCAAATGATTAGTGCATAATTCTGACATAGGTGCGCTTTGTTTAAAGTAACAGCACGATATGATTTCCTTCTTTGAACGCGTATGGTTCGTCCTAATGCTTTAGAGATTGGAATTATTTCTCATGACGGTAAGCAATTTTTACTATGTTTTTATCAAGGTCCTTAGTTGGATTTATCTTTTAAATACGTTATTATTAGCTCAATAGTTTCACTAGCTATTCTTATCAGTCGCATGCAGTTACGAGTTAATCGTTACTATGAGTAGTTATTCTGTTCAAACTGGTTTTTTTCAGCTCAGAAGGCAACATTTTAATGCGCGTCATGTGGTATGGAGTTCAGTGGAATGAATAAGACATCGGAGGAGACATTAAGTTATTTGAATTCCTCGGCAACGGCTCATCCTTCTCTATATAAAACTCTGCGATATAGTCCTAGTAATGAATATGGGGAAAAAGGTTTACCTCATGGTTCGCCTGAAGATCAGGTTCTCCGTTTAGTTGACGCGTTCCATTGTCCGTTCAATAACGACCTTAGGGAATGTGAATCCCCCCAAATCCCTATGGTGTCAGCTATGTGCAATCGTTTAGTCCCATCGGACATGCTAACTGGATTTGTTGATAGGTCTTCCGAGTTCGACCAGCTCAAAGTACCGAGTAGCACTGAAAAGCCAACAGTATCCGGAGTAGATGACACGGTCTTACTTTTCAAACCTGACCTCAATGAAATGTCTTGTCCTTCTGCTGAGATGAAAGTGGCTACTAACTCATCTTCACCGTCAAGTAATTTGATATCAGATGTTGGGTGTATCTCTTCTCCATGTAATGGTTCTTTATCTAGGCCAGAGAGTAACAGTGATGAATCGTCTCAGGTCGATAGACCTGAAACAAGTAGGGATGTCAATGGATGCTGCAGACCTACCGATGTGTCCCCGTCGCACGATCAGGAACGTGCTAAGATGGACTTAGAAAAGTTGGATGAGACAATTGACTACGTGCTGAAGGTCGCACGGAGTGACGAACCTTGTGAAGGTATGTTCGTCCTTACTTGCAGAGCACGAGAGTCTACTGTTACCTCCTCACCGAATCCTAGAGTTAATACTCCTAGTTCTGAACTTCTTAATTCTCCGACAATTTCTCCTGCTCCGTCTCCTCACTGTAACAACTTAAATTCGCCCGTACTTCAAACCTCTAAGACTCAGACTGTGTTCCAGTCCAACACGTGCAACATGGTGTCTCCGCAACCTATGCAGCGATATATAGTCGACCAAACCCATGGAATTATTCAGTTATCGTCGAGTCCCTCTCAGTGTGTCTCTGCTCATTATGGCAACCAGGGCGTTTCTTTCGTACAGCTATGCTCAGACTCCTCAAATCCCATATTTCAGGTTTCTCAACACCATATCGTTTCACAAATCAGTCAGCCTCTGACGACAAATACGCATGTCTTGTTCCATCCCAGCATGCTACATAGTTTCCAAAATCATGCGGGGTCACAAGCTCAGTTTACTATACCACATTCCACATTGCCTACTGCTTCTGTTCAGAGAATTAGTACTCCAGTATTGTCTCCAGTTCGAACTAGTGTCTTACAGCATGTTATCAATCAAGTTGCTAAAACTTCAGACGCCAACATAACATCCTATCCCGTGCCTAATCACGTAACGGAAGGTACAAACCCACCAATCTCTACCCAAGCAGTTTCCATTAACCCATCAAATATTTGTGTTGTCCAGACCCCTGTCCAGTCTCCCCAACCCTTGCTTTGTGGTACTGTCGGCACACCTGTGTCTTCCGAAGCTCCAGGTGATGTGACGTACTCACAACCCGTTCCAGCTGTTACTAATGATCAAGGTTGCTCACAGCCAAACTCATCAGTGACCTTCCGCCATCCTATTATTCCTGTCAACACAACTTCTATGCTCCCCACACCTTCCGTTAGTGTATCATCCACCCACAGTCTTCCAGTAACTAACACTCACGTCACCACTTGTTCCCAAAGCGTCACAAGTACACCTAGAAAACGATCGCATACCTCAACACCAGGAAATAATAAACGTCGAAAAACTCTCGGCAGTCCACCATGTCCTATCGTCTCAATCGCGAACAAAAACATCTCCGTTCACGAAGCTTCAGTTCGCTCTTTGCATTCCGGTGCTCAGGAACACATTGATAAATTAAAAAGCGTTGATCTAAAATCATTAGTCTCTGCCCCCACTCTCCAACCTTTTTCTGCAGTCCTGCCACCCACTGGTACGTGCGATTCAGTGTTTCCTAGAGGTACTGAGGAAGTGTTTTACCACAAGCATGGTTTGAAATACTCTCGTGGACACATGTCTCTTAAATTCCCCAAGTGTATAGATTCGACTACCTCACATGAAGTTATTGATTCATATCTCACACAACATCTCAAAGTAGTGGTACCACCTGGTCCCGTGATTTATTCGTATAAGTGCTCCAAGCGACCATCTTTAGAGCACCATTCGGTGTGTGCATCTCCGGAACCTCCATCATTTGAGAATAACATGAAAACTCTATTTTCGAGAATGAATCAGTTTGCGAAAAAGTATCCGAAAGATATTTATGATGAAATCAAAGTTGGGTACGACTCGTGCAAATTGTCGGGTGAGACAATCATACCTCAATCGTTGCTTCAGATGTTTTCTCAGAACCCATCGAATTCTTTAGAAAGAACAGAGACAGATAGGTGTACTCCTCCACTTGTTCTGTATCACATGCCTAATCCTCGTTTGCTTTGTCAACCTATTCATCTGGCTCCTTGTGTTGGAAATGGTATGGATTCCGGGCTTAACAAGGTTAATGGTTCAAACATATCTTCTCTAAAGGTTGAAAACGATGTATCAGGTCAAGACCCATATAAAAGTGCAATGAGTGAATCTCCAATATCGATTGATCTGAATCCATGCCTTCCATTCGTCGACTCGGAAACTGGTGAAACTATGATTTCACCTCAGTCAAAATCAACCAAGATGTCCCTAAATCCCACTTTAAGTGAGGATGACAAGTTACATATCACATTCACCGTAAACCCTTCGGCAACTGTAAATATACCAAAAATCATCCATCGAATCTCAGAACTACTAGGTGTGGAAGAAAATTCCATCGACTGTCAAATCACTAGATCCGGGGCACAAATAACTTTAGACCAAAAGCAATCCCAAAGTGAAGTTGTAATGCGTAACCTAGAGACGCACTTAAGACAGCAGTTCACGCCACTTTCTTTACAATTTGAAAAGGATTCAAGAGATTGTTTGGCACAGGGAGTCCATAGTTCCAGTCATATGCAATCTAGCACGCTCGAACACACATCCCATACAAAGCTTCTTCCATCCAGTCTGCCTCAGTTAAATTCATGCAAATTAGAATGCGATATTGTTGGCAAAACTGACTACAGTTCAGTTTATACACAGGAGACATGTCGTTACTCTGAAGAACCCGTCAGCATCACTTCTATACTTGCCAACAAGAGCCGGTCTGCGAAATCATGCAAAAAGTGTGGTAAGCCAGTCTCCCCTCATATAATGCAGCGCAAATGGTTAGATGAATTGTGTTCAGTCAGTGGGATATCTATGAGTTTTGATAATGCAGTGGATCTTATGTTTTGCTCTAGTGACTGTTTGTATGGTTTTGCCCAGCTTTTGTCTCGTCATCGAAATAAGTACTCGGATACGTCACTGGATTATTCGTCACAAACAGATATATTAAACACCAAAGATTGTTATAGTTTCGATCAACAGCGACAGCTTATAATGACTGACCTCCCGTGTTCTGTGCCCATATTACTACAAAATACCTTGTCGAAGTCGAAACCTAATCTCAAACGTCAGCATCCTCAGCAGTGCGTTGCAAATAAGAAGCGTCCCACAAACACTACAGTTCTCTCCAAATTTAGAAAGTGGCAAGGTATCCGGTGGAGATCGTATGTGTCCGATACTCACCATTTGTCAGACATGCCATCCAAACGTAGTATGGTCGATGATACCCTCAGTCCTTCCAGCAGTAATCCCGCAGTCATGTGTGCTCCACATTCTGACGACAAACGAGTGTGTGATTTGTGCCAAGGAGCTGGAGATGCTCCTGAAGACGGTGCTGGTCGTTTACTTCCTCTAGACCTCGATAATTGGATACACATTAACTGTGCATTATGGTGTTATGAAGTTTATGAAACTATTGGTGGGTCCCTAAATAACTTGGATGTCTGGTTAGCTAAAGCGAAAGAGACAGTTTGTACACAATGTGGTTTACTTGGTGCTGGTTTGCCTTGTTATAATCCAAAATGTTCCTACGTTTATCACGTACCATGTGCAATCAGAATACGATGTATGTTTTTCACGGATCGTGGTATGTATTGTCCTCAACACCAACCTAAAGAGATCCATCCAATGCAGTTATCTTCTCTAGTGGTCAGCCGACGTGTATACATTAACCGCGATGAAAATAGCCAAGTAGCTCGTGTGGTGCATGAAGATAGTGATAAACACGTTGTCCGCATCGGAGGAGTATTTTTGCACTCCATTGGTCAGTTATTACCACACCAAATTGACAGTGGAAACTTTCATAACCGTCGAAATATCTATCCTCCTGGGATGTGTTCCACTCGAATTTACTGGTCAATGCGCCGACCGCGTTCTCGAGCAAAATATGTCTGTGAAATATTGGAAAAAAACTGTCATCCATTTTTCCGCATAACAGCAATTGATAGAAATATGGAAAATGTGTCTATTACACACGAGACTTGCGACGGAGCTTGGCAGATAATTCTGTCACGAATTGAGGCCCTTTGTAAGGAACACAAATTGGTAAAACTTTTCCCACAACTTTTAAGAGGTGAAGATTTGTTTGGATTAAATGAATCTCATGTAGTCCGTGCCATAGAATCTCTTCCAGGTGTTGATAGCTTGAGGGATTACGTTTTTAATTTTGGACGTCTTGAATTGATATCTGAAATGCCGTTGGCCATAAACCCATCAGGATGTGCACGGTCAGAGCCAAAAATGCAAACGTATGTGAAACGTATGCACGATGCTGGTGAATATTCCATCCCGTTCAGTCATCGAACGGGTCTGCCGGGTGTTCGACGTTTATTTCATTCAGGTTTCAGTGGATCAACTTGTAGCAATAGTGTATATAATATGGATAGTACGGCATCAAAACATCAGAGCAGTCGTTCTCAACAGTATCGAAAATTAAAGACAGAAATTAATTCCAATGTTATACTTGGTCGATCGCGTATTCAAGGATTGGGTTTATTTGCTGCACGTGATTTGGAACAACAAACCATGGTGATCGAATACGTAGGAGAGTTAATCCGCTTAGAGATAGCCAATAAAAGAGAAAAAAACTATGAAGCTCATAACAGAGGCATCTACATGTTTCGTCTTGATGATGATACAGTAATTGATGCGACTGTTTGTGGAGGACTAGCTCGATATATTAATCATTCCTGTCAACCAAACTGCTTCGCCGAGTTCGTCAACTTCGGTGGTCATTCACATATTGTGATAATTACTAACAGACGGATCAAAAAGGGTGAAGAGTTATGTTATGACTATAATTTTGATCTTGAAGATAAAAGTGACAAAATTCCTTGCCTTTGCAGAGCTCCAAATTGTCGGAAATGGATGAACTAATAGCTTTGTGAATTTCTGCAATACTTTTGTGAGACGGTTGTTGTAGATAGGCAAACTCCGATTTCCTAGATTATTATTCAACCCAGTCTCGTGTCTCTCTGTAACTACCATCCAGTATAGTTTATAGTGCCTTTACATCACTTGGATTTGTATATTTCTCGCTACTTAGTGTTCTGTATTTCTCATTCCTAATGTATGTTGTGTACAGCCTTTATTTACTTGTTTTTAATTTCTCTCAGTTATGTTTGAGGTATAGTGGTGTCTAACTTTATGTATATTGTCAACTAATGTGCATAGTCCTAAGGCATTACGGATGTACAGTGATTTTGTGTTCCGTATCAACTTCGTCCTTATGTATCATACTTATTTGTACAGACACTGTATCTTGTTCATTTCTTTCACATTCCCTAATGTTGTATATATGTTTGATCCAACTAAATTGTCCTTTCTAGTTTTGTTTGAAAAATTTAAGTATTAACCGCAGCCAATTATTTTGGTTTATTACACATTTGATTATCATTGGCTTCATTTTTCTTAGTAATGATAGTGATTTCAAGAAATAATACAGATGTACCTAATTTCTATGCTTCAGCTAAATGAAACTTTTTATTAAAATGAATAAACCATGCACTCACTGTAACTGTACTTGTACACGCATGCATTTGAATAATAAAAATTGTTTTCTTTGTGAGTAGTTTTCAAGGTGTAACCGCTTGAGTATCTTGGTCTGTTTTTTACTTTGACCATAATACCATTCAGACTTTATAATTTGTCAGCCACATCGGATGGATAAGTTGTCGCAATTGTTTATATTCAAAATCTAAGTGCCGTGTTATCGTTCAAGAAACCTCTTAGCCTGCAACTGGATACTCAAAACTTATTTGTAATTATGCAGTGTTTATCTGCCCTACTGCGGTTCGGTCGGTGGAATGGTATCACTAGCCCTTGCCAGTAGATTGATTCGCATTAGCGTTTGATAGACAGCTTCATAAAAAAGTGCACCTGAATGAGCGTACTACTGTACGATAAGATCATGTATTTCTCAGAATGTCCGTATTATTTTCTTTAGGTCAGATATTTTGGATTGATGATAAAGTGGTAAGAGACAAGAAACGGGTTATCGGTGAACTTGCTTGATTCAAGTGGTATGAGTCACCTCAATATGATCAACACTTTCTGAAAAACCGTAATATAGAAAATACTTCTTGGGGAACATTATTAACGAACTGAATTTGTGTTGCATACATTTCATTTGTTTGCTTTATTTTTTCGTCTGCGGTTGTCTGGTATTTCTACTACTGACATTTATATCACCGTCTTCATTTTGATGACTGACACTGGTTAATCATAGATAATATCTTGCACTAGCAATACCGGTTGTTTCCTGTATGAATTCGTCTATGGTTTCTGAATATGTTGGTTTCGGTCGTAAGGTTTTTTAACTGACCCATCAGCTATGCTAAAAGTTCAAAGAATGGCTAAACATTGTGCAGTCATTGGTTCCACCACAGCGAGTGATTTGACAACATATCAATTAGTCCTACTTCAGTGTTCACAATGTGACTGATAAGAGTTCATCAGTTTCTTTCTTTATCAGGTGTCGTGGTCTAGGGCCTTACAATCTCGCTCAATCGATATGTGCTGCGTCTCGGAAACGCGCATGCAGGATCCGAGTAGCATCATTCACTTGACGACACCATGTCAAGATTAAGAAGCAACTCGTTATACGCTTCGTGTATCCGGTGGCCATGATGCTGCTTCCAGGGACCTCGCTGGTGTAGGTATAGCATTGAGTCGTACGGCAGAACAATCTCTCCTTGACTGGATCCCTGTAGATAGTCGCTTGTGCGCCGTCCGACTAAACGGGACAGTAAGGATTCGAAAGGATAGGGACACTCGTCGTTGCCTCTTCGTCATATCAGCCTATGCCCCCACTGACTGCAGCCCAGACGATGTAAAAGATGAGTTTTACAGAAAGCTTTCGGACCTCCTCCAAAAAGTTAAGCGCTCTGATATAGTTATAGTGGCTGGTGACTTTAATCCTCAAGTAGGTAGACTAAGTGAGCAGGATAGACACCTAGGCTCAGAGAACAGACATTGGCGGCCGTCTGTTGCAACTGTGCTCAGTTAACCGCCAATTTCTAGCAAACACTAATTTTAAGCATAAGGAAAAACATCTGTCGACCCCCGAAGTCGTCTCAACATTGGACGCAACTAGATCATATCGACATCAGCCACCGATGGAGTGGTTCAATAGAGGACTGCCGCTCGTTCTTGGGCAGAAGTTTGGATTCAGATCATGCCCTAGTGCGAGCTCGTATCTGTTTGAGGCTTACTGGACGTAGGAAAGACACAGTAAGTAAGCCTCTTAGGGCTTTACTTAATGATAATCAAGATAAGAATATATTTCAGGAGGAAGTAAAAAAAAGTTAGGCGACCATGCAAGTGATTCCCATCCTGAAGCAGGTAGGAATGATATAAAGAAGGCTGTGGAAACAGCAGTGATATATGCTAGCAACATAAACCATAAGGCTAGGATGAAGCCGTGGATTTCAGTCTCATCCACCGAACTGATGGATGCTCGAAAACGCATCCCACCTGACTCTGAACATCATAAAGAGCGTGAAGTTGAGAAAGCTATAGGAAATCTAAAGAGAGGTAGAGTAGCAGGTCCTGATCGGCTTACCCCTGAGATGTTTAAGGATGGTGGTCCAGTTTTAACAGTTAGACTGACCGAGATGTTAGGCAGAATCTGGCCATCTGACTGGTCTCAGTCGCTAATTGTCCCAATCTACGAGAAAGGACAAAAGTCCTCTTGTGACAATCACAGGGGGATAAGTCTAACTAATATAGTTTCTAAATTGTTAGCCTCGATTCTACTTAGACGTCTAACTAGAGCTCGTGAAGAGCAGACTCGAGAAAACCAGGCTGGTTTTCGACCTGGACGTGGTTGTATAGACCACATCTTCACACTACGACAGATCCTGGAACACAGACACACATTTAGACGTCCGACAATACTTGTGTTCCTGGACCTAAAAGCGGCGTTTGACTCAGTGGATCGTGAGGTTCTATGGCAGTGTCTGTCATTGAATGGTGTACCAAAGAAGTACATTAACCTTATACAAGCACTCTACTCGAACACTACTGGTCGAGTGAGAGCTTTTGGCGGACTGTCACCGGAATTCTCTACTTCAAGTGGTGTTCGTCAGGGCTGTCCACTCTCTCCATTCTTGTTTAACTTTGTCGTAGACATCCTCTTAGAGTTAACATTAAGCTCGTCAGATTTTTCAGGGGTTGACCTTCTACCAGGAAAGTCGCTTACTGATCTAGAATATGCCGATGAATTGGTTCTACTCGGTGAAGACGATGACAAAATGCAGTCTTCTGACTACCATAAGCAACGATGCGAGCATATTCGGGATGCGGTTTTGCCCCTCGAAATGCAAAATGTTGCTTCAAGACTGGGTTGCATCGGCACCTAAACTAGTGATAGAGTGAAGTAGTCGATCGCCTCACTTATCTGGGAAGTCCCATCAGCGCTGATAACCTGGTGACTGACGAAATCTCAGCACGGATACAGAAGGCTCGATTGGCTTTTGCCAACCTGCGTCACTTAAGGCGTAGGCGAGATATCCGTTCGCTGACCAAAGGACGGGTGTACTGCGCAGTAGTTCGCTCCGTTCTCCTATATGGATGCGAAACATGGCCTGTTAGAGTAGATGTTCGTAGGTTACTAGTATTCGATCATAGATGTGTAAGAAGCATTGCTCGTATACCGTGGGACGACCGAGTTAGCAATGCTGTCGTTAGGAAACGAATTCTAGGTAAGGATGGCAGATCAATAAATGAATTAATGAAACTTCATCAGTTGAGGTGGTTGGGACATGTGTTACGAATGCCTAACCACCGACTGCATCGACGAGCTGTTTTGTGATGTAGGAGTAGGTTGGAAGAAATCTAGGGGCGTCCAGACCAAAACATGGCAGAAATGCATGAAGTCACTGACAAGTGTACTGAGTCATGTTGGTAGATGTAGACTACCTGGTTGGGGTCCGCGAGACGAAAGACACCAATGGTTAGAGACCTTGAACGACATGGCTCAAAATCGTTTGCAATGGCGCAAGTGCATCCATTCGTTGAGCTCTCTCAAATCCTAATATTCTGGAATCGTTAGCACCTCTACCTTTGCCTTTCTAACCTTATCCCCCTGAATTTTACTTCTTGAATAATATCTTCAAACCGTAGTCTTCATTACCATTAATACCTCTGCTATCTTTATCACAATGGGATTTGATTTGACATTTGTGTCTGTGTGCTAATGTGGTATGGCAACATGAACTTATGTACATATGTACGAAGTTCTACGTTGCAACTGACTTATCAGGTGTGACATGGTGTCGGTCACCCAATCGTAGTTTTACTTTTGCCGTTAATTTGGTAACAGTTGTCTTTTCAAGGCTTTCGCAACTCCTCGTGTTAAAGGAATTGTATTTGACTAATACATTTAATATGAATATTTTAATATATGAAATGGTTATAGTGGTAACATTAATTATACTTACATCACTTAAACTAGAGGGTCTATAGCAGTACTGTATGTCTATTTCTAATGGCGTAGAGGACGGAATACCCACTTGTTTAAGTTGGAAACTTTCACTGATATTTCTGTGAGTCGCAAATGGTGGTCATTATTCGATCTTGAATTCAACAGCTTTAAATGCCACACGCTGGTTGAAAGATAAGACTGATGGACGTTATAATATTCGATAAGGCAGACAAAATTCACTATGGAGCAGATTTTAAACTGCGTTAGATGTAGTTTTAGTAGTTCTAAAGAATTGATTAGATGCTAAATCATTTCTGATCTTTGAATGCTAAGCATAGTGATCAAGCTAATTCCATTTCTAGAGATCATGTTATGTAGTCAAAATCGAAATGAGAGAAGTTGATTATCATTTATATGTGACTAGTAATTTTGTGTCGACAACTTCAGAGATTTTCAGTTATAAGTTGTAATGATCACTTGCTACATTGTAATTGGAAGCTTAGCGTTAAAGTTCCATTCAAGCTGTCTAAATAGTGAAAAACCTAATGTTAGTGTTCCAGTCGTACATAAACATCTTCACTTATTCAGTCAGTTTCCTTGTTCAATATAACAACTTATTTCGATCAAGTGCTTTACACCAGTCAGTCAGATACAATGTAGAACTTCTTATGTATGTACATCAGTTCAAGTTCCTATACCACATTAACACAGACATGGAATTGTCAACTCAAACGCCGATGTGGTAGAGTTGGCGGAAGTATTAGCAGTAATCGAAGATGTGATTCGAGAAAATATCAACTAGTGAAATCAAATCGCATTCTGAATTCTTCTTGCGTTTACTCGTTTCCTTGCTGAGTAGATTTATTCGTTTAGTGATTTTTATCGTTGGTTCTATACTTGATGATTTGATAACCATTTCCTGATAAAGTTACGGTAGTATCCATTTTTTCGTCAATATGTATGAAACATAACTTCCTTTTCCGTCTTTCTTTTATTTAGTTGTATACTTGACCACTGAATAGGTAATGTGTTGTTAGACATAAGTCAACGAGAGCAATCAAGTTTTTAATTTTACAGTCTGATGTTTTGTGAGAGGTTCATAGCGATGTAAGAGTATAGTGACTTTTGCTACATTCGGTTCATTTGAAGCAAATAAGGTTGTGACATCGAGGGACATCACTAGTTCGTCGTTGGC